TACTTCACCTATTATACCACCTATTACACCACCTATAACACCACCTATTATACCACATATTACACCACATACTACTTCACCTATTACACCACCTATAACACCACATATTACACCATCTATAACACCACATATTACACCACATATTACACCACCTATTACACCACATATTACACCACCTATTACACCACCTATAACACCACCTACTACTTCACCTATTACACCACCTATTACACCACCTATTACACCACCTTCATGTGTTTTAAAAACTAGAGAAACGTTTTGTTAATTTTATGTTTTTTATGTTCCAACGTGAGAAGTTCTGTTTTGTATTCAGTGTAGCCTGTTTTTATGTTTCCCTTCGTCTTTTTTCTCTCTTGTTTTGTTAACTTTATCCACAATTGTTCAATAAAAATATTCTGAGTAAAAAAAAACTCGAGAAACTTGTACCTGTGTTGATCTGCTTCTGTTTCCTGAAACTGTGCCAGTTTTGACAGATGGTTAGATGGTAACAGATTCAAAAGTGGGCTCTCTCTCTTACAGCAATATAATCTTCTGACGTCACCCTTATCATATTCATTATCTTAAGTTACCATCATTTTTTTAATCCATCAGTCTAAAGACAGAACAAACTTGGACAAATGCTTCCCTGAGCTGAGACTACAGACATGTCTTTATAGGTTTCATTCTATTCATGTAAAAATCATATTGTAGGAAACGTCAGCAAACGCATCCCAAAGAATCAGGCTTTAAGACAAAAAACAAGAAACTAAATGGAAACTAAACTAAATTCTGAAAGATCCCTGCCCAAATGTCCCATTTAGAAATGTTATAAATCGTCTAAATAGTAAAGGATGAAGGCAAATAACAGGTCTGATAGCAGGATGACAAAATGTTCTTATATATTGGACTGGCTCTGGGAGCAGACAGGTCAGTATACAGAAAGTGTGGCTTCCCCTCTCAAGCAGACAGTCCTCCACTCTGCACATGATATTAAACGTTAGGCAGTCTTCTCCAGTTCTCAAAAGCAACCAAAAGACACGAATCAATGCACAAACACTTCTTCCCTCCATGTGAGTTAAATGCCTTCCTTCAATCAGCTGTACAAAGGCAAAGCAGCTGAGCTACCACCAAGACAGAGAGAAAAAGGAAAGCCCTCATACCTCCTCCTACCTCGAAGAGAGATTAAAAGAGTCTAATCTTTAAACTCCAGATTCCCTGCCCTTTGTCTGTGTGCTGGGGATGTGGCATCAGCCCAAATGGGATGGAAATTCTATATTTGTGAAAGGTTAAGAGAAGCACGCCAAAGTCTACGAAAAACGGAGGAAAAGAGAAGAATAAATGTATTTAAATGACATCTGATCTAAATTAATTAAACAAAAAAAGAGTCCAGGGACTTATTCATCTAAGTGGTATTGATTATCTTATAAGGAGTCAGATTATTTTGTCTACTTAGTAGCTGAAGGATGGTGGTTTGGACAAATGTGTATTGATTGTGAATAATTAAATTCATGGAAAGAGTTTTCAGCGCACATAAAAGAAGGAGAGGTGCTGGGATCTATTTCATGTACCAGTGGTACTGTTCACAGAGAAAGAAGCGAATTTTCGGAGCTCAGGATTTATCAAATGACAAGAAGTTTCTATGTAAAGTCAATCAACGTGCCTTTTATTTGGCCTGTAGGGAGGAAATAAGTAAAGGAGGTTTCTTTAAATAGAAATCAATTTCACCCTGGCTACACACATCTGTAAAGCAATTGAAACACAGCTCCAGCAAAATTGTCAGCACAAAAGGATGTGATATAAAGCACCTGCCATCGTGTGATTGGGTAAAGAAAAGGGACTCGGGGGGCCCCGTTCTCTGGAAAGGCATCCTTATCACTGCCTGCAGGGCCGATGTCATTAACCTGGACTTCACTAACTGTGGCTGGATTAGATTCTGATTTTATGGTGTAATCATACAAAAACACATCCACACGCTCGCCCAGATTCCTGCTGTGACAGCGGAGGGAAAAAAGCCAAGTTATGTGCAAAAGGACAACGTTTTAACATTCTTATTATAAAGTTATTTTCACTAAAGTCGGCTATATACTGTCCCAGCTAAAGCCCATTCTTATTTGAGCTAGTTCAGCTTTGCCTTTTAGAGCGAAACCACGTAGGAGTAAGAATATAGGCGGGGTTACACTGCTTATTAGCCACATGCTAACACAAACGCTGTTTCAGAAACAGAAGATGTCAGAAGATCTTTCAAATAAAGTCTCATTACAGTAGAAAAGGGGAACATAACTATACCCTGGAAGACGTCGCTACCAACCGCCAGGATACTGAGAGGCTGACACGCCAAGTTTAAACTTTTTAGCAGTTTTAGTCCTGTCTAAATCCTTCAGGATCAATAGCAGCAGGATTTCTAGGTGTTTTACCTTCGCTGCAGAAGCGGCCCTTGTATTCTGTTTTGGAGCAGTCACAAACCGGTTCTCCGTCCACCACTGTGCACATCCCACCATTCTCACACGGGTTCACGGTGCACCATCCTTCCGACTCCAGCGGCACGTTAAGGCTTCCTAGGAACAGGGGCTGTGAGATGCCGTATTTGAGGTCTGCGATTGTGCCACTGAAGGGCTGCATGTTTCGCACTGTAGGCAGTGTAAGTGCACCGCTGCTGATATCCTGAGGCACTCCACCTAGGAACAGGTCGCTGACTATTTTCATGAACTGACGCTGAGGCTTTACCTCGCCTGCTTTGGCTTGGCCGTCCAGCACCAGCACTGTGCGCAGGTTGTACCTGCTCAGGGTGGCAAAGTGCCAGCTGCTGTCATCTACCCGTCTGTCTGACACAACAGTGGTCTCAGCACAGTCGATGCTGAAGCGCAGCCGCAGTAGTCCCTCCGCCACTGAGAGCTGTAGAAAGTCACAGTAACCTCCATCGTCAAAGTACAGCAACAGTGCGTCTGAGGCCTCTGTCTTAAACTGGAAGCTGAGGTCACCGCGGGTGCTGGCATCCCAGCGGAGGTAGCGTGCCCACTGACCTGGTGTACCTAAAAATTCCAGTCCCAGGCATGTGCTGAGGAACACATGCAGCCTGATAGAAAAACCTACAAGATCCATAGCTGTAAATAATTTCTTAATCCAAAAAAATGTCTGACAAGAATTCGGTTAGATTCAAATCTCAGGGACTGGACTCAGTTTCAGGGTTCCACAGTTCAATCTTCAATATAGATATATTTGGATAAACATTTATTATAAAAAAATATGTCTTTAAAAGAGGGAAAGGGCAATAGCAGGAGAACAGTCGTTGTAGTTAACAGTCGTAAGGTAAATTGTCCAGGTGTTGCAGGGCAGTGATTGTTGTCCTTTTAAATGTTACCGAGCAAGCTGACAGAAGGAGGAGACCGGGCTTTAAGACGTCGCCCTGCTCTTCAGACCGGACGAAGATGGAGACTTGTGGTGCGAGGTCATGTGAGTGGAATTTCCTCCTTCATTTTGTCTGCTGGGATGTGGAGCTGGCAGGGGAGCCGCTGGCCTTTTGCAGTTACATCCCTGTCACAAAACAGAAGGCACATGGTTACAATGAGTCCACTATGCACACATGCTAGACCACTGCAGCTCTGTTCCAGGCTGTTCACATGGATGCAGTTTCAGTGGCAGACACAGACACAAAGTGGAGCACTAAAATGCATCTGTGCACATAGCAGCTAGGAAAACACTTGTTGTAAAAATGCAGTTTTGTTTATTAGAATTTCATCATCTTTATTTCATATTCAGAGATGTGCAGAGATAATCAGAGGGAAAAACCAGGTTACACACTCAGCTGTGAATGGTCCACTAAAATACATTCAACCTTTTCTTTCTAACCTGCACGTTGCAGAAAACAATCCTGAATAACAGTGCCTGTGAAATCACTGCATTTTTCCCTCCTCCACAAAGGTTGTTGGGAGTTATCGGTCATCTGCTAGGGAAATTAGTCTCATTATTCTCATGGCAGTGCATGACTATCAGTCAGCCAGGCGCACTGCCTTTATCTGATGACCAGCCTGGAGAGACAGCTTTCAGCTGAATAAAAAGAAGCACAGAAAAAACACAAGCAGGCACTGATCCACTAGCCAAATACTATTTTATTTAATAAAATCTCAGTTTATAAATTTTTTAATACAGACAAATTGTACACTCGGTCTTTTATATTCCTAAAAATTATATTTATGCTTTCTGTATGAACTGTCAAGTCCTTCCACAGTACTATCCAAACATCTTGAGACACCTCTCGTTGCTTTACTTATTTCTTGATTTATTCACGTCCAAGGACAAAGAACAACGAGCTTACAGTGAGCCTGAGGTTCAATAGTTTTTCATCATAGCTGCTTTTCACTCATTTTCAATCCGGTCCTTGTCGCTGACCATTTTCAGAGCTGTTTGCTTTTGTTTTTAGTTAAGCTTCCCAACACTAACCTATGAAGCACTCAAGCATCAAAAAGCACCAAACTCAAGAGAGGACAGCATAGAAAAGAACTCATTTTAAACTACATCGTCTTTAGTCTAATCTATAAAAAACAAATAACAAACACAACACAAAGATAAGCATCGAATGGTCTTTTTGCACCAATAACTTGACATATCTCAGAACACATCTGACCTTTAAGAATTGAAGGAAACTGGACACCTGGAGGACAAAAGAAGAAGTGCCTAAAAAACTACACACAGCAGATAATATCTGAAAACCATGTCTTTAAGAAACAGCGAAACATTTAAAGACACAGAGGCTAAGACTTGCTCCTGGACCCTCAGTTCATCCGGCTTGTGTTCACCGGAGCGCCGTTAGAAAGGTCTCACAGTAGCTGTCATGGAGCCGATCTTAAGGAAGAAAAAAAGTGATCTATGCCAAATTACACAAGCACTCGTCTACAAACATCTGTGGCAACTGGACTTACAGTATGATGAACACAAGTATTGAAATTTGTAGGTGAAACTGTCAGAAAAGCAGCACAAAAGTGAGTGTGTACAGCAATGTGTAAGCCCCGGTGGAGGCTCTGTTATGGTTCGGGGCTTCATTTCAGCCAGTGCTGCAGAGGAAGTGTTCAAAATTGGTGGAGTTATATTTTCTATACCACACTGCTAAAAATAAAAAATAATAAAGGAACACTTGGGGAAAAAGTGGCTATCTGTACTGATATGGACTGGGTAGCAACTAAAAGATGCCACATCAGGGCAGGGATGGAAATGAAAAGTGGAAAAGAAATACAGTAGGCTAGTCTGAAATGTCATTGCAGCAACTCAAAATAGTACCCAGTAATTTGTATGGTCCTCATGTGCTTTTATGCATGCCTGACAACATTGAGCAGGATGGTGTCCTGGGGAACTCCTCCCAGATCTGGACCAGGGCTTTACTGAGCTCCTGGACAGTCTGAGATGCAACCTGGCAGGGCCAGATGGACCGAAACATAATGAACCAGAGATGTTTTTTGGATTTAGGTCAGGCAATGGAGTCCTTGATCCTCTAGGAAGTCCACATGAGACCAGCCACTGCATAAAGAAGAACCCCGACAATGTGTCAAGTCTGACGATCTGTCTATCATCTATACCGATCAGGTGCCTCTGCGTAACCTGAAGAGGTCTGAGCGTCCCTCTATGGTTATATCTCTCAGACCATCATATGACCACCAAACCGGTCATGCTAAAAAAAGTTACAGGCAGCACAACCTTCTTTCTCCGTGTCTGTCACATGTGCTTAAGGTGAACCTGTGGTAGACCTGCTGATTCTGATATATATGGCACATCCCAGTCGTATTCCACAATGTGGGGCAGTGATCACAAGCCCCTCTAGAGGACGGTGGGTCAACCTCATGAAGTCTGTTTCTGATTGTTTGGTCCGAGACCTTCGCACCTGTGGCCTGACAGAGGTCATTTTGTACGGCTCTACCGATCTTAATCCTGTTGTAAGAGGCCCCCGCCTGTAAAACCATTCTTGTTTTGTGGCTGTCTCTTTGTTGCTCCTCTGTTGTCTCATTAACACCAAGGCACCTCAAAGTGATTAGCAACACCTGTTACCTGCAGTGCATCTGGAAAGTATTCACATTTTGTCCCGTCACAGCCTTATTCCAAAGTGGATTCAATTTGTTTTCACCTCGTAATTCTTTGCATTATAGCCCTTAATGAGAAGATGAAAAAACAGCTTAAATTCCTGCAAATGTATTAAAAATAAAGAACAAAAATGTAACACGTACATAAGTATTCACAGCTTTTGCTAAATATTATGTTGAACCACCTCTGACAGCAATTCCAGCCTTCATGAGTGTGATGCTAGAAGCTTGGCACGCCTGTCTTTGGGAAGTTTGTCCCACTCATCTTTGCAGAAGCTCGATTGCTCCACCAGGTTGCATGGTGAGCATCGGTGCACAGCCATTTTCATATCTCTCCAGAGATGTTCTATCAGGTTCAAGTCTGGGCTCTGGTCTTGCATCTTAAGGACATTAACAGAGTGGTTAACATTAAGGATGTCTCTGTAAATTCCTGCATTCATCTTTCTCTTGACCCTGACTAGTCTCACAGTTCCTGCTGGGCCTAAACTTCTACTACTCACCTGGGTTTTTTGAGGAGGTTTCACCCTAGTAGGGAAACAGCAATAGTAGGATAGAGAATTTTGTTTCTCGTGGTCTGGGAGTCCTTTTCGATTTCAAGACCCTGCTTCTTACTTTCATCCTCCACTTCCAATTCTGAGTGTCAGGACAGAGACTGAATATTTATGTACATGCATTTTTATTCCTTTTAATTTTTAATACATTTGCAAGAATTTCATTCAAACATTTTTCACTTTGTCATTATGGGTCATTGTGTGTAGAATTTAAGGTGAAAATGAATTGAATCCATTTTGGAATACTTTCTGGATGCGCTGTAACTGATCGGAGCAAGATCACAGAAGTTTAGTTGACTTGATGCTACACTCTGAATAAACAGTGTTCCTTTAACTGTTTGGATCAGTGAAATTTCCCTAAAATTTACTAAATACTAAAATGTGTAAAAAAAAAAAAATTTTAAAAATTGGTGCCTTACTAAAGTAATCTGAGTAGTTTTTGTGCACATAATGAATCAGACGAGGAAATGTATACAGCTGTACATTTAATTCACCAGCAGGTCATGTCCCACTGTGATCTACAGCAACCAGTTTTTCTCACCATCGCAGTAAAATAAATCTTTCTAGAATTCAAAGTTTCCCGACATATTCCGACATGGAGCCATGAAATTGTGAACACGGGTAAGGGCGGATAAATTACAGCGAAATTATAAAATCAAAGAATGCAGGCCAACCTGAGCATGGAGGAGGCATGTAAACATAATAATAATCCATATCTCCACTGCAACAAGTACGTCCTCCACTCCTGAGTGATAACTGAAAACAATATCTTTGAATAATCAACATGAAGTTCGACTTTTTCTGTTCTGTTCATGCACACTGCTCCCTGTTATATAATAATCAGGTAATATTTAGCAGGCATTGTTACAGGCCTGCACCTAAAAGTCATTAATATTAGAAATTAATATTAGTGTTGGAACTGGCAATGTTTCCAATACATATTCTGTCGTGCATACAATGTTTCTAATATATATTTGTGTACAATATTACTACGTAGAATTATTACTGCTGCATTTTCTCTCTCAGTGTGTGTGTGTGTGTGTGTGTGTGTGTGTGTGTGTGTGTGTGTGTGTGTGTGTGTGTGTGTGTGTGTGTGTGTGTGTAAAACCCCATTATAAATAAGACATAACTAAAATTAAGCTCTTTTTTTTCATGCACAGCATTAGGATCAGTTAAACTTCATAGTTGATCATGATGAAGGACTTTGATACATTTTCACATGACAACTTTACGTTTAAAGACTTTTAATTTGGTGTCACAAACTGACAAAAATTATACAAAAATGTTACCTTCATGACTTTGATCTAAAACAGTCTTCTAACATAAATGTAATAGTGACACTTACAGCAATGATGTGGGTTTTTTATTTGTACACACAGTACTGATGTATTTTGTTGTTGTATGTGATAATTATTATTAAATGTATGATGATCGGCCGACCAGAGTATTTCACAAAGCTTCTTCTGTACACGGTCTACAATAAGAATAAATCATCTTTCTAAAAATGAAACCGTAGATCAGCCCTTTGAATATTTACACTCTCAGTGAGTTTATTGAAACACCACCCGAATCCTTTGCTGTGTCTCGGGGTGGGAGCTCTGGCGAGATGTCATGTGACAACTGTTTGGGTGAAAAATCTTCACCACTCATTTTTCAGCTCTTTTGAAATGTGGGCTCGTTATACTGTGGATCATGATTAATTATGAAGTCTTAACCAGATGTCACTGCAAATTGTTTTCTGGGCTAAACTGTGTCAACTACTCATACAGCCTCAGTATGTGCCCAGTGGTACGAGTTATGCAAACCATTTGCACAGGAATGCACACCTCTGTGAACACACCAGTATAAACATGCAGTGCAGTCGTGTTAATATCGCTGGACACTTTTCAAGTATAAACTGAGAAGTGAAATCAAG